CACCGCCGGGAGCACGGCGCATGCGTGGCCCCGCCCCAGGGCACTCGGCACATGCGCAGCCCCAACCCGGGCGCGCAGCACATGCACAATGCTGGCCCTGGGAGCGACCCCTGGGCGTGCAGCGCATGTGCGCCGCCCCTGCCCCCAGGCAGCCCGGCAGCCCCACACGGTGCCTGCCACCCAAAAAGGTTGGGGGCCAGTGCTCTAGGACCGCCCATCCCGGGGTCCTGGACCTCAGGCTCCAGCCTGAGAGTGGCCCTGGACTGTGCTGTTACCCAGCCCTGTCGCCCGAGTACCGGCAGCCAGCTCCTGAGTTGGCGGGCAGAGGCCACTGTGGGTCTAGTTGCCGCAGCCACACCCTAGTGCAGCGTTTCTCAGCCGGGGTCCGGGTGCCCTGCGGGGAACTGGAGAGAAGGCCGGGGGTATGCCTACACCACTGCCATTCGCAGACAGCGGTGGGAGGTTTTACGGCGCTTTATTATTTTTGTACTTTTTACACCCAAACATTTCATCACCCGCCCGGTGAGGATTACGTTGTTTAAACAAATGTGTTGCAATGGTAGAAAAAAATTGTCTGAAACCTGTGGGTGCCGGGGTGCTTGTTGTTGGTTTTGAAAGGGCACTTTCCATAGAAAGGCTGCGAAACACCGGCCTAGTGACACGGCCGGGGCAGCTCAGTCTGGCAAGCGGGCACCAGCGCACGGCGAGGCTGGCAGCCAGGGCGACGGAGGAACAGAAATCCCTGTCAGGAGGGTGGGGGCACGTGGCAGCGCTGCCCTGTTCAGTAACCCAGGTGTGCGCCTGGTGCTCATCCCCCGCACGGGGCCAGGGAGCAGGGCAGGGTTTGTCGTTTCTTTCTAGCAGTGGGTTTCATTTCCACACAACCAAGTGGGCTGCGCGTGCTGGCTCAGGCACATCCCAGGTCAGTGTGTGAGCCCTGGGGTGTCTGGCTGGCCATGCCCATTGGTCCCTGCGGACCATGCCCATTCAGCGAGCTCTGCTTTGGCGCGGGATCGTTGGCTGCCCCGGCTGGTCCCACTCCACTGACCTTGTCGCCGCCTCTTGTCTTGCAGGTGATCAATGCGATCGAGCAGGATTACCGGCTGCCCCCTCCCATGGACTGCCCCAACGCCTTGCACCAACTCATGCTCGACTGCTGGCAGAAGGACCGGAACCACAGGCCCAAGTTTGGGCAGATTGTCAACACGCTGGACAAAATGATCCGAAACCCCAACAGCCTGAAAGCCATGGCGCCCCTCTCCTCCGGGTAGGCTCTGCTCTTGCCTCTGGGCTTCGCTTTCTACCCAGCTCCATCTCTGGCAGCCCCTTGTGTCGCACCAGGCTGTGAAATCTCAGGCACTCAGCCGAAGAGCCCCTGGTATTTGGAGCAAACGCAGCTTCCTTTGGCTAGGAGTAGCGATCCATGTCTGTGTCCTGAGCGCTCAGGCTACGTCTACACTGCAGGCTTCTTGCACAAGAGCTGTTTTGTGCAAGACCAGGTCCACACTGCCATGTGCTTTTGCACAAGAACATCCATGGCAGTGTGGAAGCTCTCTTGTGCAAGAAAGCTCTGCTGGCCATGTTTTAGCCATAGGGTAGCCGTATGCGGCTCTTGCCCCCCAAAAGG